GGATAAATGCTGTGATAAATGTGATTTTTGAAATATATTGCTTGAAATCACTTAGGCTAAATGGTCCTTAGTAACCATAACCATATAAACAATGACAGATAGCCTGTATTTTCCTTCTGATCCTGTGACAAGCATGTAAAAGATCTGATTGGCAGAGGCTCCCGGCCTCCTGCAATAGCTAACCCAAATTCCTGGGTCCTCAGTTACTGACTCAAACGCTCCTCCAGTTTCAGGTCCTGAGTAGGAAACTCCCCCACCTGGGTCTGGTATTGATAAATGAGTGACTTGGAGAATTTCCTCTCTCTATGTGGGTCTGGTGAGAAATGACCCCTGCCGTATCTATATAGCCCCCGGTACCCGTTCTCAGCCAAGCTCATCGTTAAGGCTCAGCCCCCACTCTGAGCATTCTCCCTCCCTCACACGAGTGACCCTGGCCCTGGGCCAGGTCTGGGTCGCCACGGGGGGGGGGGGTGTGCTTCTCTGGCTTTTTAATTTTTTTCCGGGGGGGGTTGCGTTCATGCTTGTACTAGCAAGTACCAATTTTCTGTCGCCCCTCGAACCGGGGTCTTTGCTCTATCCCAAGCTGTGAGGACAAATACAGCCGACACAGCTGGATGACGAGGTGGGCCCAGAATCGGGTAGGAAGAGAAGGTGGGCTGGATGGCATTTGGGAAATTGAGAAGCGCTGTTCTGGATTTCAAGATACTCTCTTCTCACCATCATAGCTAGCATTGATATAGCTCTTTAATACTCACAGAGCACTTTACAAATATTGTCATTGTTTCTTGTCCTTTGTTCTTGAAGAGAACTATTGCCTTGTTTGATCCTGACAACCACTCCGTGAACTAGGTGCTGCTATGATCCCTATTTTACAGTTGAGGAAACTGAGGCACACAGGGGTTAAGTGACTTGCCCAAGGTCACACAGCTAGCAAGTATCTGAGGCCAGATTGGGCCTCGGGTCTCCCTGACTCCAGGCCCAGTGATCTAGCCACTGTGGCACCCCCTATCTAACTCTATGGATCGTCTAGAACAAAGCCAGCTGGCTGTGGTCCAAAGCAGCCTCACAGGCTGCAGATTCTTCATTTATTTGGGGATACTTTGAGTGTTATTATTTTTGTTAATTTAAAAAAATACTTTTATTTATTTTGTTAAGTATTGCCAAATTATGTGTAAATATTTTTAATATTCGTTTTAAAAAAATTTGAGTTCCAATTTCTCTTTCTCTCCCCCTCCCACCTTTCAGAAGGCAAGCAACTTGATGTTGATTATACAGGTGAAGTCATGTAAAATATGTTTCCATATTAACCATGTTGACTGTCATTGATATAGTATCAGTATATAGCATACAGTAATATACTACATACTATATATATAGTCTATTGTATAATATATAGTAACTAGTTAGAATATAGTATATGGTAACATACTCACTATACAGTAAGTAGTTCGTTTGTATATAGTAATATAATATGCAGTAATATGCTTGGTATATAGTAAGTAATAATATATAGTAACATAGATATGGTATATGTCAGTACCTAGTATTACTGATATGACAAAAGGAATGATGAAGATGGTGACGATGGAACCATCATCCCCTGCTAATCGTGTCCAGCTGGGTACCAGGTGAGGCGCTGTTCACCTTCTGGAGAATCTGCCAGTGCTCTGGGGGAGCCTCCCTCCATCCCAGGCCGATGACTGCCCCTTCCTCTTTCCTGCCATTGTTTAGGACTGGCCGCCTTGTGCCACAACCATTCATTTCCTTGTGGCGAGCTCCTTCAGTGCAAGGCCATTACCAAGGTGATCTTTATCCCTTGGCACCCAGAGCAGGTCTTACACGTAGCAGGCACTCAGTGAACATGTATTATAGCAAACGCTGGCTGGCTGGTTGGATGATCGTCCCCCAAATGCCTGCTGGATGTAAGGAAGCTGAGCTACATCCGATGACTTGTAAGAGAGAAGCGGCAAAAAGACTTTTATGGGAGGGGGTAGGTGCTCTTATTATACCCATTGTACAGATGAGGAGCCTGAGGATGAGAGATGTGAAGTGACTTGCCTGAGTTCATATCTGGCCGTAGACCTTACAACCTGGGCAAGTCACTTAACTTGCTCTCCTTAGTTTCCACATCTGTAAAATGGGTATACTAATAGCACCTGCCTCATAGAGTATTTGTGAGATTCAAAAGAGCTAACATATATAAAGTGCTAAACAAATGCTCATTTGCAAAACACTTTCAACAAACTTTCTCAAACTCTCTCCCTCCTCCTCCTCTTCTCTTTCTTCTTCTTCTTCTCTCTGTCTGTCTCTGTTTCTCTGTCTCTGTCTCTGTCTCTCTCTCTCTCTCTCACACACACACACACACACACACACACACACGCGCGCGCGCGAATCTGTAGCAAGATCGGAACTCAGGTCTTCCTGACACTCCAGTACTCCACTGTGCCACCTAGTTGCCTACTTTAAAAATGTCATCATTATCCTCAATAAAGGTTGGTTGGGTCGGGTTGGGTCTTCTCTGGAGGACCTATGGAAAGGTGTGGACAAGAAGCACCCAGGATGAGCTCAAGGTCAGCCTTCTGCTTCCACGGCGAGGCCCGAGGCCCAGCAGCATCTGTCTTGCCTCTGTTGTGGGGGGATGGGCAGGCAGGTATGCAATGACGTCCTTTGTATGATTTCCGAGGACACTCCGGAAGGGTCACAGCTAGCCGGGAGCTCTCCAGTGCGGTACCTAGGATTTCTAGAGTCTATTCGTAGCCACCTGAAGGAGGCAGTCTCCCCCTTCAAACTTGGCCAATCTCTGAGGGCATGTCTGGGGTATCCCTCAGTCTGTCAGATTAGGGGTTCTCCTTGCCTTCTCTCCTCATGGGAGCTTCCCCAGGGCCACATTTCCTCCCTCAGACAGGCGCTGTCTCCTCCCCAGGTCAGGGCTCCCCCTCTGACCAGTGGGATCCCCAGGGGCTGTTTCCTGCTAAGAGTCAGGGCTTCCCTTGGCCTCTATTTCCTCTCCTCATGGGGGCTCTCTTCTGCCCCCCAAAGGTAGGCAGGACCCTCATCTCTTCTTCTCTCCGCCCTCCCCTCTCTTTGGCTATTCTGAGGTTGGGGGTGGGGAGTTGACACTCCATCAGTGTTGACTGACTGGCTGACTGTTAGACTACAGCCTCTGGGAGCCGACAGCTTAAGACTGACAGTCAGGAAGACAGCAGAGGACTCCCGGAGCCAAAGTGCGCTCCTGTGCACTGGAGGTAAATGGGAATATGGTGGGAAGCTGGGCCCTCGGGTGACCTAACCGTGCCCACACCTCCGCAGCCTAGAACTGCACCTCGGGCTCAGCCTCTCCTCCCCCTTCCCCCTGTTGCTTTGGGAGCAGGGCTGGGCGTGTGGAGGCAGAGTGGGGCAGTGCCCGGCTGGGAGCCTCCCCTTCGTGTCTCAGGGCACGTTCGTCAGGCAGGAGGAGGGAGGGAGAGAGAGAGGAAGGGAAGGAAGGATGGAGGGGTAGGTGTGCCCTGGCCCTCGCAGGGTGACCACAGTGGGAAGCCGTGACCGCAGCAGGGACACTGGGCAGTGTCCTCATTCTGGGACATAGATACTTTAAGCCAAACTTCAAGCTGGACCTCTTTCTGCTCACCTGAGAGGTCCATATGTTGGATAGAGCACGTCCAACATGTCAGTGACCAGAACCTCGTGCCTTGGCTTCTTGAAGCTCCAGTGCCCTGAACCCTTAGACCTAACCTAAATCCCCAACCCTGCCCCCCCTCCAATTCCAACCTCTAGCCCCCTAGGTCTAATCACCCCCTAGCCCTGGCTCCCTAAAACCCCAAGCTCCCTGAATCTCCAACCCTTCAAGCTCTCCGCCCCAAGCCTCAAACCCTATTTCTTTCTGATTCACCAACTCCACAACTCCCCCCACCCACTCCTAGCTTTGGCCCCCAGTCCTCAAACCTCAGCACCCTCCAGCAGCTCTGGAACTGCATGTGCCCCTGACTCCCTAGGACTTCTAATCATGACAGTTGTGGGCCCTCAGTGGAGGCACAAACAAGGGACAGCCTGGCCCAGCCACAAGACCTCACAGTCATGCCTGTGGCTCCCCCCCATTACCCCAAATGGGAGACTGGCCAATCTCCAGGGGCTTCCCAGCAGGGAATGGTATTCCTGGTGCTCAGCTGGGGGCTCTGAGCCCTTATCTCTTACGTGGACTCCTACCCTCCCAAACAGGGATTTATCTTACCCATTTGTTCTGGTAAGGGTCCTGCTGAGCCCAAGCACCTTGCCCCCACCCTCAGTCCCAGATATTGGGCAACATGGAAACAATCTGGACAAGCCCCCCTGGGACTTGGCCCCCTGTTGGCCACTTACATCAAATGACAAGAGAAAAGCCTGGTTCTGGGTGGGATGAGGAGGATGCAGTTAATGCCTAGTGAGGGTGAGGTCTGTGGGCTGGGGCAATCAGGGCAGCCTTCCTGGAGGAGGCTAAAGCTGAGGTCCTGAGTAAGGCTATTTGGTACTAGATGAGAAATTCGAGGGAACGATGAGCATAGGGAATGAGAGGATTTCCAGTGGAAAGTTACCTCTGGAGACCATGATGGGAAAATTGGGGCAAAAGGGGAGGCATGAGGTGCGGAGGGCGCCTCCAGCAGTGCGGGAGTTCAGATGGGAGCCCAGATCTGGCACCTCCAAATCCACCTACCCGATGCCAAGAGACAGCCTGGTGTGTTCGGGGCTCCCTGCAGCCAGCCAGTCCTCCCCAGTGGCGGGAACCCCAGAGGGGCCGGGGCTCTGGCTGCCCTCCCCCGCCCTCGGGCCCCTAGCCGCCGGGGCCAGGAGAGCTGTGGGGGCGGGGAGGGCCAAGGGGGTGGAGAGCTGGCCAGCCCCGCCCCGGCCGAAGGGGACTATTTAACCTGAGAAGTTCTGCTCTGCCCCGCTCCACCAGCCCAGCCCAGGACAGACCGGACCGCGGACAGCCGACAGGCTGCGGACTGCCGGCTGGCGCCCAGACGGCCGACGGCAACTGCTCCGACGTCCACCCGAGGCCCCCGAGAGGCGCCTCAGACTGCCCCGGACGGCCCCGACCCCTGAATCTCTGAGCACTCCACTTGCCCCCCCCCCCCCCTAACCACATTCACCCTGGGACTGACAGACCCAGAAGGACAGAGGGGCCCCCCTGCCAACAAACAGGCGGACTGCCAGAGTGCCCCTCCAAGGCCCACAGCTCCCGCTTCAGGTGGGGCGGGGTGTGGGGGGAGAGGTCCTGAGAACCAGGGCGGAGTGGGGAGGGGTGGCATCTGGTGGAAGCAGGCCCGGACCCGGAGGTAGGAAGGTCCGAGGGGGCAGGAGCCCCGGGACCTCCAGGTCTGGTGGAAGGGGCTGGGGGCCCCCAGGGACGCACCTAGGGGCTCACTGGCAGCCTTCATCCCTTCAGCCCTAGCCCCGGACCGCAGAAGCCCGCAGAAGCCCGCAGAAGCCCCGCGCAGCCCCAGCCTGCCATGGGCTGGCTCCTACCCGTCACCCTCGGTTGCATCAGCCTTCTGAGTCTCCTGCTCCCGGGCACGTTGTCCCGGCGCTTGGGACCTCACCCGCTGCTGGCCCGGCCCAGGTGAGTGCAACGTGGCCCCCCTAGGGGCCTAGGTCCGCCCCCTCGGGCCCCAGTCATCCCTTCTCGCATGCAAACTGCCCTCTTGACCCTGTCTAACCCCAGCCCCCCGACTTCTACAACAGCCCAACTCCAGAGCCCAGAACCCCACCCTTGGTCTCCACCACTTCTCCCTCAGGGTCCCAGATCCCCTCCGGGGGTCCAGATCCCAGAAGCTAGTTCAGAGCCCCTGCACTCACTCAGAGCTAGGCCCGCTCTGATCCGAGGACTCCCGGATCCCCCATGCAGTGCTTTTGAGGGGCTGGGGGCGGAGCGGGGCGGGACTGGTAAAGGCAGGGAATGGGGCTCTCTCCCACAGCACACATAGGGTTAATGGCTGGTCAGTCCACCAGGGGGCGCTGTCGCCTGGTCGCTCTGACACGTCTGGGCCTAGTTCAGGTGGGAGAATGAGGTGACGGCTAGGATTGGGAGCCTGGGGACCAGGAGCTGGGAAGTGGCCTTGGGCAGGCCAGCATCACCAGGAGGGAGCCTAAGGAAATCAGAGCATTCAGAGTAATAGCCAGCGTTTCTATAGAGCTTTCAGGGGCCACATCTGAGCTTCACAACAATCCTGGGAGGTAGATGATAGGAATTCCATTTTGCAGAGGGGAAAACTGAGGCAGACAGAGGTTAAGTGACTTGCCTGGGGTCACATAATTAGTAAGTGTGTGAGTCAGGATTTGAACTCAGGGCTTCCTGACCGAAGGTCCAGCATTCTGCCCACTGCCCTGCCTAGCTGCTTCTAGTCACCTAGATCTTAAAGGGACCTCAGAGGCCCGGGGAGATTAACTGACTTGCCCCAGCTCATGCAGACAGCGAGCATCAGAGACAGGATTTGAACCCATGTTCCCTGACTTGCTCTAGACCTTTCTAGGGTGCCACACTGCCCCTACTCCTGAAGGAGAGCAGCCCTCCCATCCAGGAAGCCCCCAAACTGCTGCCAGCTAAACCAGGGTCAGACCTCCCCAGCCCCGACTCACCCTGGGACCAAGGGCCCAAGTCCACCCTGCACGGCCCCCAGCTTTTGGACTGAGGGGGAGGTAGGGGCAGGAGAGCTGCTACCTTAAGATTTACAAAGCACCATTCTCATAATAGCCCCACAAGGGACTGGCCCTAAGAATTAGTTTCCCTGTTTTACAGGGGAGGAAACTAAGGCCCAGAGAGGGACAGAAGGGTCACAAAACTAGCAAGGGGTCAGAGCTAGGGCTTGTTCCCAGGTCCTCTGACTGCAAGGCCGGCTCTCTTTCCTCTGTATGAACCAGTGATGCCTCTGATATGAAGGTCACAAAAGGGGGAGCGGTCTGCGGAGAGGAGGCCAGAGAAGGAGGGATCTGCTGAGGTGGAGACACAGGCTCAGAGCAGGGGCGGGGGGTGGGGTGGGACGATACCATGGGCCCTGAGCCCAGGTGAGAAGGGAGTAAAACCTGCAAAATCCCCGAGTCATAGACTGAGAGTGCAGGGAGGCTGCAGATGCAGGTGGGCGTGAGGAAGGCTGACGCTGGGTTTGGCTTCTCCCCCTGCTCAGGGGCAGCTGCCCAGCACTCAGGACTGGGTGGGGTCATTACCGCTGTCAGCCACATTCCAGGGAGCAGTGACCCACAGAGGCCTGGGAGTTGCCCTTTGCCCAGGGTAGATGAGGGTTAATGGACCATGTGACCCTGATGACTGATGTACAGAATGGGTTCCTGGGGGCTGTGGTCTTCTCCTGGCATGTTCCCCAGGGCCAGAGGCAGTCACCCTCACGTCTGGCAGCGTGAGGGGATGCGGGGGCTCATGTTCACTGTTCCCTGTCCTTTCCTCCGCAGGGAGCCCCCAGACCAGCTATTCCCCCAAGACCTCGAATCCCAGGCTGTGATGAATGTGGGGCCGGTGACTCTTGTGGGCCAGCCAGGGCCCCATGTGGAGCCCCTTGTGGGGCACCGCCCTCGACACCCACACCATCATCGCCATCACCGTGGACGGCTGCAGGGCCGCAGGGGCAGGGATAGGAGCAGGGGTAGTGGCCGGGGTCGCAGGCATGCCCGGCGCCACCACGCCCAGCTCATGAGAATGGGCTGTGTACTAAGCACCTGCCAGGTGCAAAATCTCAGCCATCGCCTAAGGCAGCTCATGGGACAGTCAGGGAGGCAGGACTCAGCCCCCATGAACCCCAAGAGTCCCCACAGTTATGGCTGAGCAGCCAACCCTGCCCCTACAGCCCCACCAAGACCCCAGAGCTCACCACAGGGACCCCCATGTCTGGGACTTACTTTCTAACTGTGTGACCCTGGACAAGTCACTTTCCTCTCTGAGGCTAAGCTTCCTCATGCATCAAAATGGGGATGGTCATTAATACTGACACAGTTCACCTCACTGGGGTGTTGGGAGGCAGTGCTTTGGAAACCTTAAAACCCAAGAGAAATGGGATTTTTTTGTTATCATTATTTGTTAGTAGCATTGTGTGGATCCTGCCCAGATAGGAGCCCACACCCATACCCTAACCTGTACCAGACCAAGGTCTCCTCTCACACATCACCCTCTGACTGGGGGCCTTAAAAGTCTCAGTTCAGCCCTCATTTTGCAGATGGGGAGACTGAGGCCCAGTCCTGTTGGGGAGACGCTCATGGCCCTCTAATGGCACTTGGGGAGGGAGATGGTCAGGAGCCCCTAACCTGGAGGAAGATGTCAGGGTCCCCTTACTCTAGGGACACACCCCTTAGCCCCCAAGGAGACTCCCAGGCTCCCCTGCCCCTGAAAACATGATAACTCCTTCGTGACTCAAGGAATTACCTGAGGGGAGATACTGAGGCATTGTCATCTTCCCTAACCTTGGGGAGATGTCCAGAACCCTGCTAATCTGGGAGATAAATGCCAAGGGCCTATCTAAACTTGGAAGAAATATCCAGGCCTCCCTGATTCTCTGGAAGATGCCCAGGCCCCCTCAAACACCCAAAGCCCTTTAACCCTGAGGGAGATACTCAGGATCCCCCTAAACCCCCCACCTGGGGGATGCCTAGGACCCCCTTGATTCCAGGAAGATGCCCAGGGTCCCCCTTATGTCCCTGGGGGTAAGGAGGAGATGCCTAGGGAGCTCTCATCACTAAGGGTCTTGCCCCAAGACTTCTGGAACCCACTGGGTCTCTCAGTCCCTTGATCAACATTTCCAGACACTTTCGTGTTCCTCCTGCCTAGCTGGGGGCGTGGGTGGGAAATGGGACTCCTGGGGTCAGCTGGGGAAGCATAAATTATTCCTTGTAGATGTATACCTGTTCAACTAAAGCTAGCTTTGTGCATTCATGCCTGTGCCAGTGTGTGTGCCCCAGGGGAGAGGGAATGCATTACTGCCACCTCACGTCCCCACCCCCTGTAGTGAGGGGGAAGGGGAGAAGCAAGTAAGGCACAGGGCCCCTCCTGGAGTCCCCAACATCACCCAGAGGTGTTTTGACCCTCCCACTAGCACACTCACAGACAGACACACAGAACCAGCCCCTGGCAACGACTCAGGGTGGGAGGACTCAATTGGGGACAAATCATAACCCTAAAGGGAGCGTTGCTGCCTCCCAAAGGCCAGAAGAGGAATAGCCAGAGACCTTGGTCCAGAGCTGGGAGTAGAACCTGACCCAGAGAGGAAAGAGGAATGGGGACCCTCTCTGAGCCTCAGCCCTGCCCCATGCTCCACTTGAGCCCAATCCAGGGGAAATTCCTGAAGGCTCCAAGACTCTCCTATGGGTGGAGGGTCAGAGGCTACTCCCAGGTCTAGGCCTCTTGGGGCAGGGGAGCTATGAGGGGGGTGGGGGTTCGGTGGGAGCATCCCCATCTATAAAGACTGGAAGCTGGATCCAGAATCCAAGGCCTGTATTCCCACTCCCCCCAAATCCATGGACTATATCAGAGGATATAACCCAACTGAGCTGCAGTGTGCCATGGTTCAGTGGAAAGAGATTAATTTGGAGGCAGGGAACCTGGCTGGTTTTCTCTGGGCTTGGGGTCAGGATTTGGCCAAGGCCCGGGCCTGCTGACTCTGCTGCACCATTGGGTGGAGTAGGAGGTGTCCCGGGGCTCTGACGAGTAAACTGGAGATAGGGGAGATCATAGCAAGAATAGAACTATTTGGGAGCAGAAACTGAGGGGGGCAGAGGGAGGGAAGCAGCTGTCTGGAGGGACAGACCCTGAGCCTGGCACCTCCGAGGCTTCAGGTCCACGTGCCTGCTCCCCCCACAGGCCAACGTGGGCTTTTACAACCACTTGGGGGGCGGTGCTGCCTTCGCAGTTAAAGATCCCAAAGCACAGACTCATGGCATAGGCTGTACGGGTGGGGGAGAAGCTATGTGAGGTGACGCAGAGCTCAGAGGCCCCAGGCTAGAACAGGAGGACCACAGGCTCTGCAGCCTGTCATTTTACAGAGGACTCTAGGCCTCTGGAGGTCCTCGAGACTGCCCACAATGGCCCACAAGAATCTCTACGCTACCCTGCCTGCCCTTTGGGGCATAGCCCTGACTTTGAGGTTAGGAGGGCCTCAACCCTGGGAGGGCAGAACCTTTCTCTATCTGCTCTCCTTGACAAAATCCCGAAGGGCCATGAGCTCGAGTCTGAGAAGGGCAGAGCGCAGCTGGCCGCTGTCTGACTTCTTCCAGGTCTGGTCCTCGGCTTCTTTTTCTTCATTTAGTGTCAGTCTGAGCCAGCTTTCGGCTGCCATGTTCACTGTTGGCTGATAATGGGTTTGTCATCCCTGGTGCTCCCAGATATTTTTTCAGTCAAAATGATCCCTAGTCTTGCTTCCCCCATCCTGCAAAGTTGATTTTTTGAACATAAACATCAATAGTCTGCATTCTTCCCTATTCATTGTCACAAACATTTTATTGAGGTCTTCCCAGGATTCCAGAGCTGGAAGGGGCCGCCACAGTCATTCAGCCTAAGCTGGTGGGGAAAAAGAATTCTCTCTGCCACACACTGCCTTGGCTTATGTGAGGGGGCCCATTCTGACTCAAGAGAGCCCACGTCAGCTCTGATTCTGAAGATTTCCCGAGGACCCAGCCTGACTCTGTCTCTTGGCCACTTCCTCCATTTCTCCTGATTCTGCCCTTTAGGGCCATCTAAGCCCTTGTCTGTATGATGACAGCCCTTCCGTCCTCTCTTCTGCCTGCTAAGCACCCCCATTTCCTTGAGCTGGTCCTCACCTGCCACGAACCGAGGCCCTTTTCTCTCAAATTTTCCCTCTTCTGGATGAAACTTTGGGGCCCAGGGTTTACCCGATTAAATCACCGCTGACCATGGTTATCCCCCAGCGCTCCACCAGGAACCCTCTTTTCTTTTCCCTCTACACTAGCCATTTGGCGATCTCATAGGCTGCCATCATTCCAACCATTGCCATATGCAAACGATTCTCAGACTGATTTGTCCATCCCTAGCCTCTCTGTCTCCAAGTGCCCACTGGACATTTCCAATTGGATGTTTCATAGACACCTAAAATTCAACATGCCCATAAACTGAACTCATTATCTCTCCACACTACCTCCCCACTCCCGCCCCAGCTCTCCCATCTTCCTAGCTTCCCTATTATTATCGAAGGCACCACAATCCTCCCAAGTCACTTGAGCTCCAAACCTATGTGTCATCCTCAGCTTCTCATTCTTTCTCACCCCTCCCCCATATCCAAATCAGGTGCCAAGTCCTGGCATTTCTATCTTCCCGACGTCACTCGTACAGGCCTCCTCCTCTCCTCTGACATTGCCAGTATTCTGGCCCAGACCCTTATTGCCTCAGGCCGGGGCTGTTGTAATAGTCTGCTGCTTGGTTTCTCTGCCTCAAGTGCCCCCACTCGTCTCAGCCGTCAGACGGATCTTCTCAGAGCCCACATCTGACCTTGTTACCTCCAGTAATTCCCTATTATTTCCAGGATCAAGTATAAAACTGTCTCTTTGACTTTCAAAGCCCTCCATAGCCTGGGCCTTTCCACACTCCTTACTCTTGACATGCGCATCTGCATCCCCTCTCCCCTAAATGTCCTCTGCAACCCAGTGCCACTGGCCCCTTGCCAGTCTTCACACGAGACAGCCCACTCCCCTACTCAGCATTTTCACTGACTGTCTCCCATGTCGGAAACTGTCTCCTCTCTGCCTTGTGGCTTCCCTGGCTTCCTTCAAGTCCCACCATGTACAGGAAACCTGTCCTGATCCCGCTTCACGTCAGCGCCTTCCCTCTGGTGATTATCTCCAATTGATTCTGTCTCTAACTTGTTTGTGCATAGTGGTTTGCACATTATCTCTTCCAGCAGGCTGAGTTCCTTGGAGACAAGGACTGTCTTTTGCCTTTCTTTGTATCCCCATCACTTAGTACTGTGATGGTCCTTACTAAATGCTTGTAGACTGACTGACTTGGTCTGGCCAAGGCAAAAAAAAAGAAGAATGGTCACACCCTTATCCCCAGAAACTCTGCCTGTCTTAATACAACATGATGGCCAAATAACACCATTGATTCCTATGGAGCTTGGAGGTCCCTAAAAACTCCCCGCCATCATCAGATGAACTGCTTTCTAGCCTCCAGCCCTCCTATCTTGTGTATTGATTGTTTTAAGCTTAAGACCTTAGAGTCATCCCTAATGAATGGTCTTTGATTTTATTCAGCCCAGTGTTCTGGCTAGTTGGGATCTTCTTGAGTCCTGACTATCACTTGGTGTATTAGCTAACTCCTCGCTCTGTGGCATCTACAAATTTGACCAGCATACTATCTAATACACCTTCATCCAAGTCATTGATAACAATGCTGAATAGCTCAGGGCTCAGTGCAGATCCCTGGGGCACTCCAACGGAGAACCTCTTTTAAGTTAATATTGAATCATGACAGACTTCTCTTTGAGTATGGCCAGTCAACCAGTTCTGAATCTCCCAAAGTGTAAAATCACACAGCTCACATCCCTCCATCTTATACAAGACTAGCCTGAAAAAAGATTAAGTGCTTTGTGAAACTAGAAAAACTATATTTCCAGTGTTCTCCTGACTTACCAGTCTAATAATCCTGTCAACAAAGGAAAGGAGGTTAGGCTGGCACAGCCTGTCCCCAGTGGAGCCATGATATCCCTTATTGATAACTGCTCCCCTTCTGGAATGCTAACAACCATCCCTCTAATAATACAATCTAGAATATTGACAAGAATTGAGGTCAAACTTACTAGCCTATATTTGCAAACTCTATTTATTCCCTTCACTTGTTTAGAAAATAGGGACATTTCCTCCCTTCTCCAGACCTGTGGTACCTCTTCCACTTTCCAGTCTTTCAAAGGTCACTGACAGTGGTTCAGCAATCGGGGCCTGGCGACTTAAACATGTTAAAGGAAGCAGGTGCTCTCTTCCTATCTCCTTCCTTATCTTGACTCTCAACTCCCTAATAGCTATTTTTGTTCTGTCCTTTCCAGTCCAAAGATCATTTTCCTCAGAAAAGAAAACAAGAGCATTGAAGAAGCAAGCAGCCCCTCCCTTCGTGGCTGAGGTGGGGGACTGAGGGTACTCCACGAGGCATAGAGCCCTCTTTCAAGCACAGGTGGTATAGTGGCTGATTTTCACTGAATGCTATTTTTCTTCTTTTTTTTTAGTCTTTCTTACAAGAAAAAGCTAGCTGGGTGGGAGGGAGGGATACGTTTGGAAACAGATCTGTGGTAAAACAACAATAACAACAATAGGTGTCAACAAAAACAATTCAAAGAGTTGGAGAACTCTGTCTTTTGCCCCTTAAATGTCATTTATCATAGTCTATTGGAGTCTCCTGAGAGGCAGACATACTTTTAAACATTCTCTTATTTTCCCCAAGATAGACTGATAGATTAGATAGATGGATGGACGAATAGGTAGATAAAGGGATAGAAAGAAGAATAGGGAGATGGATGCATGGGTATTGATTGATTGATCAATAGATATCGGATGATAGGTAGATGGATGGGTGAGTGAAGGATGATAGATGGATAGACAGGAAATTAAATGGATGGATAGATAGGCAGAGCATTTATCAGCCACAGACTATGTAAACCAGTAAGCCGGACAGGCCCTACCCCTCTGTAAGCTTCCATTCTAATGGGATAAGACAACACATAAAGGGTTCTGGAAATCATGGGGTGGGAAAGATACCTTCGAAGAGGCAAGTGAGAAAGTGAAGTGTGGAGAGTAAATCAAACCAAGAGCGAAATGAGTGAGACTAGCTGGGTGGTCTGGGTTAGGGAGTCACTAATGAAGAGAGTTGGATCTGAAGAGGCTTCTTACATCCCAGTGGGGGCAGATGAATCATCTACTGGAAAGGGGAAGGGGAAA